TGATTTGACTTACCAAGTAAGCATGCATGCATGACATGCATGACATTGCTATTTTATGGCAACCAGAAGCAATGGTGGCATGCATCTTTCATAAACACTATTTTTAAAATTAGCTTAAAAAACATCCATCAAATGGAGATATTAGCAACTAAGAAACTAAACAACTCAAATCTCGCAAATAAAGAAGCAGATTTTTTAATTCAGCATACAACATTACACATAATTACAGAAAATCTGTCAGTTCCTCTTTGGAACAGAAGCCTGACACATAAAACACCACATCCTGCATTAAAAATAAATGTGCAGCTTATTAGTAATGACATGATACTGCTTGTTTTCTTGAATCCTATCTGTTGCTATCTCTGAAAACTTTCCAGTCTTAGCACTAATTTCTCCATTTATAATCATTCTAATCAACATATTAACATATATATCTTATCTTAAAACCACACTAAACAAACAAAATAACACACCAACCCCCTTCAGCTACTGTCCCACTTTTTTTGTTCCCTTTCCCAGGAAAACTGCTCATACACATGTACACCTCCCCAACTTTCCAATATCATAATTTTGGTTAAGTGGGTGTTTTGGAATTAACATTATGTTGACTCCTGTAAATGCAATTCACAGACCAGCCATGTAGTCCTATACTGTATTTCTACAGTCAGTGTTGTTGTTTCATTGTTTAACTATCTTTGTGCATACTTATTACCAATTTAGCCACAAATTTCACCCTAAATCTACTCTCTATATCCTCGAACACATTATATTCTAACGATCTTACCTTCTCACAACTCTTTATCTTGGAACCTTTTACTCCATTCACACTGGGACTAGGTGTTATCTACTATACCTGGAGATCAGCTGTCATTTTGGCATCACTATTCAGCATCGTCCTGGTAATTGACTAGGTCTCTAGTTAAGATACATGACCTGTTTCTTGTAACTCAGGCCTTCACCTTTTTAGTTTACTTTTTATTCTCGTTGAGTAACTCCTTTAATAATGACCTGAAAACAGGGACATGGCAGGTAAATTTTCTGAGACCTCACAAGTCTGAAACTGTCAATAGTGTGTATGTAACCTAGAGTTCAGTTAGAACTATAATCCCAGTGACTCAGGAAGTTGAGGCAGGAGGATCCCAAGTTCAAGACCAGCCTCAGCAAAATTAGGCCCTAAGCAACTTAGTGAGACCCTATCTCAAAATTAAACAAACAAACAAAAAAAGGATGAGGATGTAGCTCAGTGGTAAAGCACCCCTGGGTTCAATCCCCAATACCCCCTAACCCCCCAAAAAAGAGTTTAGCTGGACACTACATGCTGGGTAAGAATAATTTTTCCTTCAGCATTTTGAAAATTCCAGTATGGTGCCAAGAAACCTAAAGTCATTCTGAGTACTAATTCTTTATATGTGACCTATTAGTTCTTTCACCCTGGAAACCACCCTGTGTTCTAAAATTTATAGTGACGTGTCCCATTTGAATTTATTTTCATATTTCAATAGGTACTTTCTAATGAAAAATTCATGACCTCTTGTTCTGGAGTTTTCTTGAATCATTCTCTATTCTTTTTCTCCTCAATTTCCTCTATCCTGTCTTTCTGGAAATCCTATTATTTGAATGTTAGAGATCCTAGTTACATTGTATCACATCTTCTCTCCCACTTTTATCTCTTTTTCCTCTTTGCTTTAACATACCAGTTTCATTCCTCAACCTTTCCACTGAGTTTTTTTTTTTTAAATTTCTAATTTCACTTCTCTTTGTTTCTATTTCATATTTCCTAGATGCGGAATCTACTTTGACCTTTCTGAAACTATTAAATGGTAGGCTTATGTTTCTCTTAATTTCACTTTCCTATCTGGTCTCCATTTCCCCCAACTTGGTATTCTCTCTTTTGTTTTGACCTTTGTCTCTCACTTAAGAGGTTTTTCTCAGCTATCTAGTGATCTCTGGCCACAGGTTCGAATTTGGGGGAGGGAGCACTAGAAAGATCACTGGAAGCTTTGTCTTAAGGATTCTTGACTGTGAACTTTACTTTGGAGATAGAAGTTGGACTATATCTCTGGGGGAACTCTCAATGTAATTATCTTCAGACCTTTTCTCTCAGGCCAGTTACAATGTACAGAAAAGCATATTCTCCACTCTTGCTTGAAGTGTATAAAAACCCGTTAGCCTGGGTTCTCAAATCCCCTGTTTTCAAAATCTTATTCCCATTCTCAGCTATGTTTGTTGTTTATTTTATCCTTGATAGAGCATAAATATCCACAATTCTGCTAAATCACAGAAGGGGCAGTTGTCTGTTTCAGAGATAAGAGCGAGCTATGGAATACAATGTCCTCTTAAAAAGATTTGCAACCCTCAATCCTTTTTTCAGAACATTGCTTTCAATTTACAAAAATATTTTGAGGTTTTATTCTGCCAAGAAGTTTGTTTCTCAGCTTTCCCATAGCTGCTTACAACTCTTAAGTTCTGCAGGAAAATAACTACACTTCCTTTTGCTTTTCAGGTTTTGACATTTTGTTGCCATTGTTTTCTTTCCTATTCTCCCTATCCTGTGAGGCTACATTATTTGGGAAATCCTTCTACATTATTTACTTTTAATGAAGTTTCAAAAATAGGTGAAGTTTAATCATATTGTTTGCCATCTCAAAATGGAGGTTTCCCATTCTTGCTCTTCATGGACTTTCATTCCTACCCCTCTGATGAGATTACTCACTCTTCATCAGAAACATTCATAGTGGCAAATCTAATTGCTGTTTTACTGTACTCACCATTTGACCTCTTGGTAGCTGTGATTTATTAAATATTTTCTCTTCTTGGTTTCTGGGACAGAACATTTTCCTGTTTTCCCATTCATTTTAATGTCTGCTCCTTCTCCTATAATTAATATTGGCACAAGCCAGGGTCGAATACTTCTCAATCTGTCTATACTTCCTAAATAATTTAATCTAGTCATTTGACTTTGAGTACTTCTATATGCAAATGATTTCCAAATCTATGATCTCAGACCAGATTTTCAACTGCAGTCATATATACAACACTGTATTTTGACACATCTACAGAAATGTCAAAGGCATCCAAAACACTATTTAGCCAAATCAGAACATTTGATACTCGACTGTAAATTTGCTTCTCTCCCAATTTTCTTTTCCATCTTGACCTCCATTTACTCTCCCCATCACATAACTATACTGCAGCCACATGTGCACTGTTGCTTAAGCATCCTACATTCAGTCACTTTTGTTCCCACTGCCAGTAAAGCTCTTTTCTCAGATCTGCACATGCTACCTTGTTTTTCCAATCTTTACTAAAATGACTCCACTCAATACATCCTTCTTGGACTACCTAAAGGGAGCAGTCATCAGTTTCTACCACATTATACATGTTAATTATCTGCACAGTACTAATCACAAAACATTTGTCTTCCTCTAGAAAGCAATCTTCATAAAAGCAGGGTGGCTTCTGGGTGTTACCTATTGTATACTCATTATCTAAAATAATATCTGAATATAAGTAACAATAGATGTTGGCAAGGATGTGGGGTCAAAGAGTTCACTCATAGATTGCTGGTCGGACTGCAAACTGGTGCAACCACTCTGGAAAGCAGTATGGAGATTCCTCAGAAAACTTAGAATGGAACGACCATTTGACTCAGCTATCCCATTCCTCAGTATATACCCAATGGACTTAAAATCAGCATACTAGGTGTCTCAGCCACATCAATGTTTATAGCAGCTCAATTCACAATATCTATGCTATAGAGCCAACCTAGGTGTCCTTTAACGCATGAATGAATTTAAAAAATGTGGTATACATATACAATGAAATATTACTCAGTCATAAAGAAGAATGAAATTGTGGCATTTGCCAGTAAATGGATGATCTGGAGACTATCATATTAAGTGAAATAAGCCAATTCCAAAACACCAAAGGCCAAATGTTCTTTCTGATGTGCAGATGCTAACACACAATAAGGGGAGGAAGGAAAATAGAAGTTCATTGGATTAGACAAAGGGGAATAAAGGGAAGGGAGGGGGAATAAGAATAGTAAAGACAGTAGAATGAATCAGACATAATTTTCCTATGTTCATAAATGAATACATGACCAGTGTAACTCCACATCATGTACAACCATAAGAATGGGAGCCTAATTAGAGTAAATTATACGCCATGTTATGGTATGGATGTGAGGTGTCCCCCAAAAGCTCATGTGTGAGACAATGCAAGAAGGTTTAGAGGAGAAATGATTGGGCTGTGAGAGCCTTAACCCGATCAGTGAATTAATATCTGGATAAGATTAACTGGTAACTGAAGGTAGGTAGGGTGTAGCTGGAGGAGTTAGGGCACTGGGGGCATGGCTTTGGGGTATATATTTGTATTAGGCAAGGGGAGATCTATCTTTGCTTCCTGAGCTGCTTCCCTCCGCCACACTCTTCTGCCAAGATATTCAGCCTCATCTCAAGCCCCAAGGAATGCAGCCACCCTCCGACAGACTAAGACCTTTGAAACAATGAGCCCTCAAATTTTTCTTTCTCTACAATTGTTCTAGTCAGTTCTTTAATTACAGCAGTGAAAAAGATGACTAAAACACTCCATATACGTATAATATGTCAAAATATACTCTATTGGGCTGGGATTGTAGCTCAGCAGCAGAGCATTAAGCTAGCATGTGTGAGGCACTGGATTCAATTCTCAGCACCATATATAAATAAAATAAAGATCCACTGACAACTAAAAAATAAAAATTTAAAAAACATACTCTACTGTTATATATATACCTAAAAAGAACAAATAAAAATTAAGTAATATCTGAACAGAACTACACCTAACATCCATACCATAAACTACAAATGTTTTTTGATAAGTTAACATAAAAAGACAAATTTTTAAACAAACCCTTTCTAAAAGTAGTGTATGAGAATATTCATGGATTATTTTATTTATTTATTTTTTTACTGGAAAAATGTCATTCAGTGATGCATTATAAGATGCACCTCCTTTACCTTTTGTACTTTGGGGATCTTTTGAACTGATTCTTCAGAAAACTATAAGTTCAAGGATTTCTTCTATATGACCATCAGCCTCAAAATTCTGTTTAAACAAGAAAAAAAAAGGTCAGATTTATTCAAATTATATAGATTGTTTTCATGAAAAGGGTTTTAAATAGTTTTAAACACAACAAAGTTAAAACTGTTTAAAAAAATGCAAAAAAATTTTCAAGTTCTACAAATTATTTCTAAAAGGAAAAAAACCTTAAAATCATGAATAAATAAATCATTTCAAATTCCAGAATAGAAGTTAAAAGACAAAATGTATTAATGAATAGACAATATAAATGGACACAATTTGTGACATCCATAAGTTAAACATAGTTTTTGTATGCAATATAAGTTATTAGCTTAAGATAGATCATTATGCTTTTAAAAGCCCCATGATAATCATAAAATATTGATAGTACACAAAAAAATGAGAATGAAAGTATAACAATACCAAAAAAAATCAATAAAATGCAAAGGAAGACAGCTCAAAGGAAAAGAGGGACAAGAGAGTCCTCCCTGTCAGTAATAAGCTCTTCCCTATCAGTAACCACTTTTAATCTAAGGACACACATATACAGAAAGAGAAAGGATGGAACGAGATATTCCAGTCAAATAGAAACCAAAAGAAAGCATAAGTGGCTGACTTAAGTAATACAAAACAGACTTCAACTGAAAACTTTCACAACACACATAGTAGGACAATAAAACAGGCAAACTCCAGTACCAGCTACTTGGGAGGCTCAGGCAAGAGGATAGCAAGTTCAAGATCAGCCTGGGCAACTTAATGAGACCCTATCTCCCCACCCCGCCAAAAAAAAGCTAGTCATGTGGCTCTCTGTTAGTTTGGCTCAGTGGTAAAGTGTCCCTGGTTTCAATCCCTAGTGCCACAAATAAGCAATTTTTAATAATAAAGAAGAACTAATGCCAATGTTACTCAAATTATTCCATGAACTAGAAAGAGAGGGCACTTTCAACTTCATTTTATGAAGCCAGCATCATCCTAATAACTCAAACAAACAAGGTCATGACAAGGAAAGCAAACTAAATGAATAATATCCCTGGTGAACACAGATGCAAAAAATCCTTATTAAAATGTTAGCAAATTGTCAAAAATACATTAAGAAGGTCATACCTCATGATTATGTAGGATTTATTCTGGAGATACAAGGATGGTTCAACATATGCCAATCAATAAATATAATTCATCATATAAACTCATGGGGGGAAAAAATCACAGATCATCTTGACAAGATACAGAAAAGGCCTTTTAGAAAAATCAGTACCCAAGCCTGATAAAAACACTGAAGAAACTAGGCATAGAAGGAACTTATCTCAACATCATAAAGACTTACATATGACAAAGCCAATATCATACTAAATGGGGAAAAACTGAAATAATTTCCTTCAAATAAGAACATCCATTCTCACCACTCCTATTCAATATAGTTCCTAAAATTTTAGAGCAATTGAGCAAGGAAAGAAATAGGAAAGAAAGTCAAATTATCCCTGTTTGCAGATGGTATAATCCTATACTTAGAAGTTCCCAAAAGCTCCACCAGAAGACTACTAGAACTGATAAACAAATTTAGCAAAAATAGTAGGATACAATATCTACATCCAGAGCCAGGCACAGTGGCACATGCCTGTAATCCCAGCGGCTTCAGAAGCTAAAACAGGAGGATCTTGAGTTCAAAGCCAGCCTCAACAATGGCAAGGCGCTAAGCAACTAACTCAGTGTGACCCTGTCTCTAAATAAAATACAAAATAGGGCTGAGGATGTGGCTCAGTGCTTCAACCTGAGTTCAATCCAAAAAAAAAAAAAAAACAAAAAACAGACCCACATCCAAAAAATTGATAGGTTTTCTTCATACTAATAATGAATCCACACTGAAAAAGAAATCAAGAAAACAACTCCAATCATAACAGGTTCAAAAAGGAATTTTTTTACATTGTCTCTAACCAAGGAGGTGAAAGACCACTATAATGAAAATTATAAAGCACTTAAGAAAGAAGAAAACACTAGAAGATAAAAGGTCCATCCATGTTCTTGCATATGCAGAATTAATGTTATTGAAATAGTCATATTACCAAAGCATCTACTGATTCAATCCAATCCCCACTTATCAAAATACCAATGATATTCTTCAGAGAAAAAGAAAAAATGGTCCTAGTGATAGCCTTTTTAACAAATGGTGCTAGAGAACTGGGCATCCACAAGTAGAAGATGAAACTAGATTAGTATCTTTTACCCTGCACCAAAATCAACCCAAAGTATATCAAAGACCTAGAAATTAAGAGCAAAAAATTGCTAACTGCTAGAAGAAAACATAGGGTCAACATTCCAACCTACAGGCATAGGTAATGACTTCCTCAATAGGACTCCTAAAACTCAGGGACTATATGTAGAATTAACGTAATGCATCAAACTTAAAAGCTTTTACAGAGGAAAGGGAACAAAGTACAAAGAGAGCCTACAGAAAGGGAGAAAATCTTAACTAGCTACGCTTCTCACAGAGGATTAATATCCAGAATATATAAGAACTCAAAAAATGAAAACAAAAAAATAAAAAACCCAATCAATAAATGAGCAAATGAACTGAATGACACATCTCAAAAAGTACAATGACTGTTTGCTTTCCCACAACTTAGATCAACATGCCCTGGAGTAGGGAGGCTTCCTGATTCCTGTTGCAACGTATGAATTATTTTCCTTTCTCCTCTCTCTAATGGCCAACAAATATATGAAAAAATTTGTTCAACATGTTTAGCAATTAGGGAAAGCAAATCAAAATTACAGTGAGATTTCATCTCACTCCAGTAAGAATGGCAAACATGAAGAATACAAATAAATACTAAATACTGAGAGGATGTGGGGATAAGAATACACCTATGTACTGTTGGTGGGACTGTAAACGGGGACAACCACTATGGAAATCAGTAAGAAGGTTTCTCAAAAGACTGGGAATGGGACCACCATATGACCCAGCTATACCACTCTTCGGTATTTATCCAAAAGAACTTAAAGCAGCATACAATAGTGATATATGTATACCCATGCTTACAGCAGCACAATTCACAATACCCAAGTGATGGAATACACCTAGGTGTTTGTCAACAGATGAATGGATAAAGACAATGTGGCATATATACAGACTGTGGAGTTTTATTCAGCATAAAGAAGAATGCAATTAGGTCATCTACAGGAAAATAGATGGAACTGGAGATCATCATGTTAAGTGAAATTAAGCCAGACTCAGAAAACCAAGGGTTGTATGTCTCCTCTCAAATGTGGAAGCTAGGAAGAATAAAAGGAAGAAAAAAAAAGTAGGGGAAATCTCATGAAAATAGAAGGGAGATGGAACAGAGGAAGTTGAGAAGGGGAAGGGAGGGTAGGAGTGAAATGGGAGGTGCTTAAGAATGAAACGGACCAAATTATACTGTTATAATGTGTGCACTTACACATCTATAGCAATGAATTCCACTATTATATATAATCACAATGCACCAATATAAAAGAAAAATAATAAAATGAAATCATATCAGAATAATTTTTAAAAAGGTTAAAGATCGTGAGATGTGGAGATTATCCTGAATTATCCAGGTGGGTCCTATGTATCACATGAGAGTTAAAACTTAAAAAACTTTCCTGGCTGTAGTCAGAGATACCAGATAGAGGAAGGGTCAAAAGATGTAAATGCTGGCTTTAAAGATGGAGGAAGGTAGCCACAAAGCTTAGGAAAGTGAGCAGCTTACAAATAAGAAAGAGGAATGCCAACAACTGTTGGAATTCTGAGCTGTAGAACTGTAAATATGAATTGTTGTAGGCCATCAAGTGTGTGGTAATTTGTATGGCAGAAAGAGAAAATTAAGGCCTAAAATCTGTGTCTGCTCTTAATAAATCTGCCTTTCATAGACCTCTCCCCCTTAGACATTTGCAATAATTTGCCTAAAACAAATCCTGTTGTGCTCTATATTCTTTTTATATCAATTACCAGAAGTCTAAGACTTCCAGGTCATTCCTCCATACACTCTGTATATCCCCCACTCCACTGATGCCTGTTCCCTTCCTTCCCCATTTCTAAAATCATTTCTCTATGTCCTCTGAAACTTAGAGTATATCATCAAAATGTCCTGTTTCCTCAATAATGTTCCTCATTTTTATAACACCAAATGAAACCTCAGTCTTCTCTAAGGATTCTGCTCTATTTAGAGAGCTTTGAAATAATGACTATTTGCTTTTCCACAACTCAGATTCAACATGCCTTGGAGTAGGGAAGCTTCCTTATTCCTATTGTCATGTATGAATTATTTTCCTTTCTCCTCTCTCTAAAATCCCAGCTTTGAATCTACTATCCCCTTCTTCTTGTAGCTATTCACAAATTCCCAGGACAAGTCCTCTCATTCCCTAAAGAGTATTACCCTTCTCAATTTTCAACGAATATAAAATAATTCAGTTCCCTGAACTCTTGTGCAACAATTTTGTGCTCTTCCTATCTCCCACTCACTCCACTATTATTCTGGAAGTCACCATTACCAATAATGATCCACCCTGCCCGCCTATATTCTCTATGTCAAGTACCTTATCCCTTTCTCTTATAAGCTAGGATAACGTGATCCCTGAGGCAAGCAGACAAAAACATACCTTTTTTTAAAAAAGGCAACATAGCTCTAATTTGTTTATGTTAAGGTGGAGGCAGCAGAGGAGAGCAGGAGAAAGAGAAAGAGGGAGAGGAGGAGAAAGAGGAGGAGGAGGAGGAAAGGAAGGAGAAGAAAGAGAAAGAAGAAAATTGTCCCAGCTCACAAATTTTTGCCTGCCCTTCAGTTTCACATCCTAGTAAAGACCCAAAGGAGCAAGGTAAGTTACTGGAGATTGTCAGGAAAATCAAACACAGTGGCAGTCTATGATTGGTCAAGTTGTTCAACAACCTCTATCAGAAATGCTTCATTCTTGTTCATATTTGTCTAAGCTCTGTTCTTTCTTTTTTGCTAGAGTTCTTTCCACATTTATCATGTAGACAAGACATTTTAGGAGCTATTTATGACTACGACTCA